CTCACCTCGGAGCAGCTGGAAAACAGAGAGGTGGGAGGGGCCCTGGGTCCCAGGCCACCTTCAAGGGCACGCCCCCATGACCTGCCTCCTCCCACCAGGCCCCCCTCCTCCCAGTGGTGCCTTAGACTGGACCCCGAGTCTTTACACGTGGGCCCCTGGGGCACGTTTCCCATCTAAACCGTAACAGAGCCCCAATTTCACCTACCACCTCCACCAGAAAGGCCATCCAGGCACCAGAATACCAGGGAATGTGCACCGTGATGAGCACGACGGTAGTGACACAGAACCACGCCGGACACGCCGCAGGTATGTTGACGGAGGGGCTGGATGAGCTGCTCCCCAGGCACGGAGGAACCCAGGGAAAGGCAGCCTAAGGGCCACCCCAAAGCTACCCGCACCCACCCCCCACCGGAAACAGGTGCTGCAAGAAGACTGAGTCCCGGAGTGTGCAGCCTCTGGGGCCCAGGAGGGGCGTCCTCGCCAGGGGACGGCCAACGTCACAAACCAGAGAAAATGAGCTGGTTTTTCAAGAGCTGTGAAAACTGCAAACTGAAATCAACAACCTGGTCAGGCCCAACCGACGGTGAAAACCAGCAAAGCAAGGACAGGGAACAAGATGGCAGGCAGGGGACCCTTTCCCCCCAGCAGCCTCCTCCAGGGCCCCCTGCTCCACAGGGAGTGGCTGGCTAAACGGGTGTGGCTGGCAGAGCCCTGCAAGGCCGCCCCGCGGGTGGGACACGCCTTAGCCGATGGCCCAGCGGGCCCAGCGGGTGTCAGCCCTGCAACCGTGGTCGGTCCAAGCATGGCTACTGGGTCCTGGTTATGAGGGAGGAAGACGGTGTACTCAGGGACGCCCACTGGCATCTGAGCTGAAGTGCCAGGAGCCAGAAACACCCCTCCAGGGCTCAGCCAAAGAAAGGCAGAGAGGTAGGCAGGTGGGGGGCGCTTGCACTTCTCTTGCAACCTTCCATGAGTTAGGAATTTTTTCAAAATTTAAAGGGAGGGCGGGGTGGCTCAGTGGTAGAGCACTGGCCTAGCATGCACGAGGCCCTGGGTTCCACCCACTTCACACACACACACACACACACACACACACACACACATATACACACACACATATTTGAGAAGAGCTATCAGGACCTGGTCTCTCAGAGGAGAATACGCACCTGCTCACTTCTCTTGGGGCACCGGCTGCGGTCTCCTGGACGGCCCTGGAGGTAACGTTGCAAAGGGGACTTTCCCCTTTTGGACGCTCAGCTGTCCTGAATTCACAAGCGATCATGGAGCATGAGGGTGCACGTTGTTCCCTCCCTCTGCCGAGGTTTGCAGCAGCTCCCCAACACAAGGGGGTCCCTGGGGCCAAGGGGACAAAAATGGGCACAGCCTTTACTGTCCTCCTCCGCCCGCGCAGAACCCTCCTCCCAAGGCTGTGGGGCCTGGAGGAGCCAGGCTGGCCACTCGGCGCTCTGTAGAGGGACACATTTGTACTGTCAAGGACGAGAGCCACTGGCAGCCTGGCCCACAGCTGACCCCTCTGCATCATCAGGGAGAGAAGTGGTCTTTAAAAGGCCCCGGGGGGGTTGAGTCTCTGAGCCAGGAGTGTCGGTGAGGTCACTGCTTGGCCGCGCTCCACCCGGAGATCGCGTGGTTTCCTCTGCTCTCCAGGCCTGCTTGGAAGGCTGCAGGGAGGGTCTGGGTTTCTCTCGCTGCCCACACCTGGGCAGGAGCCCAGCCAAGCAGAGAAAGGTCCCCAGGGAGACTCCTTCCCGACCAGCCCCATCCCAGCCCGACACCATGTGACTCCCAGGAGCTGGCTGACACAGAGCAGGAGACACCCACAGGCTCTGGGCGGCAGGAGCCCACAGCCAGCCAGGACAGCCTGAGGTCCAGGGTCCAAGCAGGCAAGGATTCGGAACGGTGAGCACAAGGACAGCACGGGTCAGGGTGGGGGTGGAGGGCCCGCCCAGAAGCTTGGCATCTTGCGCCTGTCTGAGCTCTTCTGCTG